AAAGAGTCTCATGGTACTTAATAGCCATTAAACTTTTGAAAGAAAGTTTATTATTATTGCACCCCTAGGGAATCCTATACCATTCTCCCTGGTTGGAAAAATTGTGGTTACAAGGTAGGATGCTGAAGCAAATGGTTAAAAGGGAATTTGAGCCTGCAGTACAGACGCAGAGCATCCAAGTGGGAGATAAAGTGGGGACTGAAAGGGGGAGGGGTTAAGGTCTTTGCTGTTGTTCATCTGAATCTACTCCTTACTTCATGATTTCTTCTTTTACTTTTTTCTTGAAAAAACCATGTCTGAGGACTTTACAGAAGTTGGATTTAACCAAATATATCCAGTTCTTGCGGTAGAGAAAGAGCACTTCTTACTAAAGGTATTAACAGCAGTAGATCCCTAACCATCACTCTTCTCCTGGAATGAACAAACCTATGGTTCCTCTTTATCCCTTTGCTTTCAGACTTTATTTCTTTGTAATAGGAGCCTCTGTCTTTCATTTTGTAAAGTCTGAATCTTCTTCCCATTGTTGCTGCTGTCATTACAGTGTTGTCCATCCAAGGGCAAAGCGTTTTGTGGGTGATATCTTTTATTGGACCAACTGCATGATTGGGATAAAGTTAGACAAGCTTGTGAATGCAAGGCATTCTTCATACAAGGAAGTTTTAGATAGATATTCTTATTAAGTGCTGGTATAAGCCTTAGTGTTACAGTCTTTTTATGACTGCATAGTTAAATCTTCTCATCCCATACTGTACTAGGCCTGGGGAATCAGAGTCTTCTTAAGTAGTGTTGAAGTGACGTTAGCACTATAATGGTCCAGGAAATAAGTATATGAAAGTCCTACTGAGCTATTTTTATAATTGTAATCTATCTGTGTATGTGAAGTAATATACACACATATTTATGAATGTATACTATATATTATAATAATATACAGGGTGTACATTATACAAGATTAATGCATAGATTTGTATATTTTATGTATTCCCTATATAATTAATTTCCTCATCATTTTCATGTCCAGGAATTCCCATTTTCAAAATACCAAAGGTTTCCAGGTATCATGTAAGAATGCAGTGTGGTCTATAGCTGCCCCCACCAGTGCTCCTCATGGGGCTGAGCCCCGCCTTGGGCACACCATGCTCCTGTCCGCCAGCCTAGCCTACGTCCTGGCCAGCACACACCTTCTGGCGAGATGGTTCCTGGTGTGGCTGCAGCTGGTTCTGTGTTGCTCTGCTCCCCTCGTTTTCAGCAGGAGCTGCCCAGCTGAAACTCCTTTTCTGCCCACCTGCAAGCCCAGAGCGGTGCAGTAGGAGTAGGAGGGGGAGGAGGAGCTGCTGTTGGAGGCAAGGGGAGAAAAGCAGCACGTGGACAGCCACAGCTGCACCAGGAACAGCGCAGCCGGAAGCTGCGCATGCTGGCCGGGACCCAAGTCAGTGGGGCTTTTCAGCTCCTATCACGTCCAGGGACAGCTCCTCCTCCTGCTCCTGCCCCTGCCCCTGCCCCTACTGTGCCACTCTGGGTGGGCTGGCAGGGGGGAAGCTTCAGCTGGACAGTGCCTGCCCCAGTGTATGGGGCTCTGACTCCAGCTCCCAGCCACCTTCCACCCACCCGCGGTGGTTGCTCATTGTGCCAGGAGGGTGGAACGGGTGTGAGGCAGCCTGGAGCTGGGGCCAGATCCCTGCATACTGGGGCAAGAGCCACCCAGCTGAAGGTTGTCCCCCCTGCTCGGAGCAGTGCAGCAGGGGCAGGAACAGGAGGAGGAGCTGCCGCTAGAGGCAAGGGAAGCAGAAAAACCCTGCTGGCCCAGGCCCCAGTCAGCACATGCAGCTGCTGGTGGGGCTGTTCTTGGTATGGCTGCAGCTGGCTAGGTGCTGCTCTGCTCCCCTTCTTGCCAGTGGTGGCTCCTCCTGCTCCTGACCCTGCTGCGCTGTTCTGGGTGGGCAGGGGGGGAAGCTTCAGCTGCCCGGCTCCTGCTGGAGGTGAGGGGAGCAGAGCAGCACAGGGAACAGCTGCGCCAGAAGCTCTGTGCGCTTGTTGGGCCCCAGGTTAGCAGGTGGTGCTTGGTCCCACGCAGACTGTTGTGGGGGCAGCCGCAGGCTGGATTCAGTTGGCAGGCCAAATCCAGTCCACAAGCTATATTTTTCCCACCCCCTGTGTATAAGACTTGTGGAGGTCTGATGAAGTAATAAAAGATTCTCCTGCATATTCCACCTCTACTGAGCAACATGAGAAAGATCATGGTTTGGCTGCCATTGACTTCAGAGGGAGTTAGTTGGGAGGAACTTCTACATGATTGGCTCGAAATTGCACATCTAGATTAGTAGAAAGTTTCCCTGGTGCAATTCTCATGCTTCCCACTAGGTGACTGCTTGTTACATTATTAATTGGCTGGAGTGACCCAACCCAAACATAAACCTCATTCTTACTGAATAAGATGAAGCTTTTATTCTACAGCACCCTCCATAATCTCTGTCCATTACAGAAAATCCAGCACAATAAAAGAAGAATCTTCTCTGATCTTTTTTACTTCTCCTCCTTATGTTTCCTTTATCCCTTTATAATGAGCCTACAGAACTTTTTATTTCTCCTCTGGGGGCTCTACATAATAGTTAATGGCCCATCCTGCTGGGTCAGGAATTTAGGATGGGTTCCTTTGGGAACAGTCCCAGCAGAGCTATCATGAAGTAAATAGGCCTACTGAGGCAGGGCTTCCTTCCCATCCCTGAGCCCCTCCAGATGAGACACGGAATTTAGCAGGAATTGATGTGGCATTAGCCTGCTTCCTGCTGTACATGCCTTGGGGATAAATAGATAATTCAGTTGCCTGAGGCTATCAGTCTGGCACCTTTTGCTAGCACTAAACTAACAAAAACTTCTTCGAACCAATAGAAATCTCCTGTGAAGGCCCAGTTGGGGCTGACTCATGGATGAACCATTTAAAGTCCACGCAGCTTGTTTCGTAATTTCCAGCATTTCATAAAAATGCTGGGGTTTTTTCTCCCATTCACTGCCAAGTTTTGAAAGCTTAAAGCTTGCTCCAATTGGATGGGGAAACTGTTTTTAAAAGATACTGACATTTCCTAAATGAGCTGGTTCTTTCTGAGCTGTACAGATTTCAAGCCGTATCCTCTAAGCCAGTCCAACCCAATGAAACATTTCACATCTTCAAAAACAGTGGCACCTACGTGCTTTAAAAGCCGGCTGTATTTTCACAGGCAGTTACTGAATACTGAAAAAAATGGAGCTCAGAGAGAACTTAGTTTGGGTTTCTTGGTGTAGGACTTTTTTAAACCTCTGAAATTAAGATTTCTCCTTTTACACTTATATTTA